TTTTTATGGATTCACTCCCCCCCCCCCCCTCATTTTATTTGTAGAATTTCCTCTGACTGCAACTATATGTCATACTACAACTAACAGTAACTTAAAAATAATGTGATAGCACATATAATATTCTTAAATATATTTTGTAAAAACCAAAGCAATTTTTATCATTTGCAATCTGCGTATTATGTGCACAGCGAAAATAATATTTTTTACCAAACCTACCTTAGTTTTAAACAAAAATTGGTGAAAAAAAAAATTGATTACTTCTCATTAAATTTTTCATTGAATTCTAGTTACGTATTTATCTTAATAAAAGGCACTTAAGTTAAATAGTTATTTAAAAAGAATAAAACATTTTATTAAATAAATACTAACAGAGACCTTTGCTAATCTGCTACAGTTTAAATTTTTAGGCTTTGTATATACCCAGGTAACTTTCTTTTTGAAAATGGTAAAACATTGTTAACTATTGTGAACTGGGCAAGCGGATTTAAAGGTCGAAAACTTATTAAAAACTTTTTTTTTTAACTAAAAATGAACCCAAGAAAAAAAAACCAAAAACAAAAATAGAAGTGTGTCAACTTTCACCTTGTATAATATTAAGCTCACAAAAGAGTAAATGTAAATAAAAAAAAGAAAAAACAAAAAAAAAAAAGTTTAAAACTTTATTGCAATATAACATGAAGAGATACAAATATATTAGTAACTATAGTTACCCTCATCAATATGTCATAAATATACTAGTAATTGTCATCATTACTATTGTCGTAAATGTAAAGTATTAATTTTCAATTAAACTGGATTAAACTATCCGAATTCCGACCCACAATCATTGAGTCGGCTCATCAAAACTTTTTTTTAAAACATTTTAAAGATCCCCCGACACAAAAGATATTTAAAAAGCCAATAAAATGTGAGAAATAAAAGTGAACCAGAGAAGACATAAGTTTATTTGTAGTTCATGCAAAAATTAAAGAAGCCCTAGAGTTAAAAAGGTACAAAATTAGTTAACAAAAATAAAAACTTTAATGTACATGCATTAATTGATCTGATTCTGCACTGAATAATAAATCAGTTAAAGAAAAAAATTCAATTAAAACTCTCCAAATTATTAGTAAAAAACCACAAAGTAAGATCCGGTATGTCGAGTTACCATTGTAGCAAACTAGATTTAATCTCTGCTAAGTAAAATTAGCAAGTGGCAAACCACTTTTTTAAACGATTCGCGAATAAGAAGTCAAAATTTTCTTGTTTGTAATTTACAAGTCTTGTTAGTTTTTTTTCCATTTCAAACACCTGAAGCAAATATGTTTAACGATTAGAGAATTTTACATACAGTTTTAATTACGAAAACATACATATCTACAACTTTTAATCTTTTTTTTCTGATCTAAACCTTTTCTTTCTGATCTTATTTTCGAATCATCATCAAACAACACTAATATAAGTAAATATTCATAATGAATTCAAAACCATGTCCACACATACAAACTAAAGAGTTGATATAAATACTTTATGACGACGGTTTTTATGACTAAATTAGTAATGCCATACACTAATGTATAAAAGTTTAGACAAATCAAAATTTAAATTTTATGAAAGTATTTTAAATAATTAATCTCCGTAGGCGACAATTTTTGATATCATTATTTCAATATATTTCTATCGAGTTAGTAAGAACCAGTTTGATATGAATCTACTGCTTCTTTTTCTTTCAATTATTTATCAAATCCCTTCAGGGTATTAACTTTTCTATGCTTCTTATCTGCATCTGAGGGCTTATCTACTTGCTAAATACGCAAACCGTTTAAGTTTATTGTCAGTTTTTGAAATTTCCTTTTTCAAACCAAAGCGTTCTAAAACCTTCAAAACTCAATCATTAAAATAAATAAGAATTTTTTTTAGACAAATATATTTTTTTGTAATCACGACCATATAAGTCAGTTTAGGTCTTAGATTATGTTCTGGGCATTTCCACGTGAGCATTTACTAACTACGTGAGTAAATGTTTGCGAGGAAAGATTACGTACTACAAGTATTAGCAATTAAATGCTTAAAAAACGATTGAAATAGACATTTATTAAAAAAAATTGTGTTGAGGAGATTGTAATCCTTTTGTTCGTTGAACTAGTACTTGCACTAACTGTTGGAATCTTGGGGATAAAATTTGTAACGCTCAAGCGAATCATTCGTATTTGTAAAATGAAAAAATATTGTTCATGTAACTTTTTTCACAGCGTTAAATTTGCAGAGGTTTGACCTTATTGCCAAACAATAATAATTTTTCATAGAATCAATTTATTAGTAAGTTGATTTTTTTAAGAGGTTTTTGTACGTTTTATAACAACCAACAAGGTTGTGTCTAGTCTCTAAGCATTTCTGTTGTGTCATTAAGCATTTCTGTTATGTTCCTAAGCACTTCTGTTTTTTTTTTTGTGTTCCTAAACATTTTTGTTGTGTCACAAAGCATTTCTCAACATGTCTGATGCATTCGATCTTAATTATTATTATGCTATGTTTTATGCTTGGTTCAGCTATGACAGCAACTTATTCTTTTTGCATCCAAGATGCAGAAAGAATAAACTGCTGTCATACCTGATTTTTTTCCCACTATTTGATGTTTTACATTTTTTTACATTTTAATTATTAACTTCATAAACTTTCATTGTATTAGTTCAGGGGTGGATGCAACATTTTTGATATTTGAGTTAACTACAGACATGGAGGAATCTCCAAACTTTTTTATGATTATACTTATTTTAGATAAGGATGCTATGCAAAAAAATGTTATTATTGGAGCCTGGGAACAAAAAAATCTTAAAATTAAAGTTTCTTTTATTAGGTTTTTATTTTAGTTTATTTTTTCTGTTATTTTCAACCAAATTTATAGTTATCATTAAATTTTCAATTTTGTAAAATAATCTCTTAGCGTTCAATAATAATAATGGCTTTATAAAATTTGTAACACCCTCAAATTGAGGGGGATCAAAATTTTTATAGTCATAGTTTTTGAACGCTAAAAGATTATCATATGAATTTTAAAATTTATGAATGAACTTAGGTTTAGTTAAGGATAGTATAAAAAATATTTCATTAACTTGTTGCTCTCATGTTTGGGGCAGGTGTAGCTAAAAATTTGGGTCTTTTTGTTCCCAGGCTCTAATCTATTTTTTTTGCAAAGCATCTTTATTTGACTTAAATATTACCAAAAAAATATGTTTTGAGTTTGATACATGTCTGAAAGTTATCTCAAACATTTAAAAACGCTGCATCCGCGCCTTAACTGTTGCAACAATAATGCTATTAAATTTTGTAAATAATATAAAGAATAAAAACAACATCACCACAACAACTTATCAGCTCAACAACTTATTACCACAACTTATCACCACAACAACTTATTACAACTTATCACCACAACAACTTATTACAACTTATCACCACAACAACTTATTACAACTTATCACCACAACAACTTATTACAACTTATCACCACAACAACTTATCAGCTTATTTATCTGTCTAAAAAATATTTGTGGCTTCAAAACGTAATATTTAGACCGGTAAAGACGAAGCGGTTACATCCTTGTAAATAAGTCAAGATAAGGCAATCAATTCATCCAGTCGTGACGTCACTCCGTATTAAAATGTATTGTTTTAAATTTACCCTTCTTGAGTTGGGGAAAAACAAACTAAAATATCAGTTGCGGTTGAGTTATTTTTTTTTAAATCTTAAAAGGTTTTTGAGCAGTTGGTTGCACTACCAAATTAAAAAAAATAAAAACTTAAGTCTTCCTAAAGATAAAGTGCCTCAAAGGAAGTGGTTGAATAAGATAAGTCTTCCTGTAGGTAGTAGTACATGTAGCAAGCAATGGCTTCTTAAAATCTTGTAATGTTTATGTTTGTAAGGCTCACTTTTAATATACATCTTAATTTAGTATTGGTAAATAAATATCAAAATAGCAGTACTTTTATACTCTAAAATAATCAAAATAATATGTAAACACCAATGTAAGGCGTCATTTTATTTAAACAAAGATCTAAAAGTATGAAAAAATAAAATAAAATTACTTAAAAGACTTATATTTTGAAGATATCTATTCGCTGTTTCTTTTGACTATTTTTTAAAGAAATTGTTGGACATAAAGTTATTTTTAAAGAATATTTTCTTAACTTTGCGTAAAAGAAAGAATATTTTGTTTTCCCCAATTCAATATGGTTACTTTTGATTTCCTGATTTCGACTGGATGGTTAAGAGGAAAGTAAGTAAAACACTTTAGTTTATGGTAACTAAGGACGTTGCAATGAGTTCTGCTGCTACCTAAGAGTATTTTATAAATTAAAATTTTTTTTTTTTAAAGATTGTTTCAAGAATGTAGGCAAATTAAAGGGTATAATTCTACCATAAAAAAACATTACATTTGCTTGATATAAAAAAATAAAACTTCTATACTTTCAAACTTTTTTAGAATTTTTAAACATTCATAATATTTATTTCACTTTGAAATATCAGAAAATATAAACAGTAGTATTTAAAATATTTCATGAAAACATTGAAAAACGCTTTATAATTTTATTTATTTTGCTATGAATAACTATTAATTGTATAAAAACCAAAATGGCGCTCAATGATAAAACAAAGCATCGCTTTATTCTTACTCCACTTATTTACATTAATGCGCATACCTTTTGTATTTTATTTCATTTAATGAAAAAAAAATATTTTCAATTAATAAAAAAATAAACAAGTATTAATATCAGTTTATTTATATACAAGCCATTTTTAATTCAATTGACTTTTTAAGTGTTTTAAATATATTGTCACCTTTCCGAAGTTTTAATAAAAGCATAAATGTATTGCTTTTTCTTTAAATTTTATTATCTAAACCCTGATTATTTGACATAGTGGTTAATTAAAATAAGTTAGATAACTTAAAACTTTTATTTACAAATACTGTAAATAAAAGTTTATCGGAAATAAAATACTGATAATTTAAAAGACTTACGTACGTATACGTCATTATGCAATTAATGTTTGTATTACATTAGGTAAACTTTTCTGAACATTACAAATAATATAATCGATTTGCTATAGATTCTTGCAATACATTTGGACTGATATTTTGCATAACTTGAAGTTTCTGATAACGAATGTTTGTATTACATCTAAGATAAAACAAATCTTATATTATAAAATCATTTTTAATGACACTAAACTATTTGTTATAATTGTTTTTTTAGTTTGTTTTTATGTTTATATAGCAAATATTGGTTAACTCAACTAAACCGACAATTACATATCTTCTGTAAAAATAAACATCGTGCAATCTAAACATGTCCTTTATATTTAAAAATATTTTAATAGTTCAGGAGGAATGAACATTTAATCTGGCTCCACTTAGGACTGCAGAGCTAGTCAAACGTCTCCGTTGATATTAGTCTTTATTTAGTCTAAACGCAACAATTAAAGAAAAAAAACGTGCTCATAAAGTAAAACAGCTTGTACTTTCATTTTTTAATTAAAACTACAATTTAAAACAAATTTAGTTACAAAACCAAAAACTGTTTACTCTTTTTTTTTTAAAAAAAAGCTGACAATAATAATATAGTAATGAAAATTAGTTTTTCAGTAACCATATTTTACAAAAATGTTATAAAGCTCGACGGAGCTTGGCGCCAGGCTTTGCTATGCTAACGAGTTTTATACATATAGTTCTATTATTCGCTAGTGTTCTGATGCTGCAGCCGTAACTTAAAAAAAAGTACAGATTTTGAGTTGATGGTGTTGTTGGAAAGTGCATTCCATGGTGCACAAACACGATTTGTAAAAAAGTTAAGTCCAGTTTTTGTTGCAGTTGAAGCACAAACTCGTGGTTATATATTAGGTCATATGACGTTGATTTGGAAAAAGGATAATTTTTTAGTGCATAGAAATCTACTTGTTCAAGCTTTTTATTAATTTTGAATTGTTCTATAAAATTGCTTTTTTTTTTCTCTCTTCTAGTGTTGTCAGTCCCAGTGCTTCTAATCTTTTTCATAAGTATAAGGTCTCAGGGAGTTTTTTAATGTTGAATTTACTCTAATTTGTTGATATCGCTTCTAAGGTGTGGTGAACAGGCTTGCATAGCGAACTCTAAATGGGATTGAATGTGTGAAGTGTATAACATTCGTCAGAGGAATACATCGCGTCTTCTGAATTCTTTATTAGCACACCTAATTTCCAGTTTGCTTTTGGTGCTGCTGCATCAAAATTGTGGTCTTAATTTCAAATCATCAAACATAAAAATACCAAGGTCACGCTCGACTGAGGTATATTTTAATGGATAACGAATTCCATCTCGGCCAAACGTTGCGTAACTGTGCGTTGATTTAATTTTTTTGCGATTAACATGCATAACCCACTTATCAAGATTAAAAAACATGCATCAATTTCTAGTCCATTTAACGGCTTTGTCAATATCGTTTTGCAAGAATAGCGCATCAGTTGGTGTTTTTTTAATTGTAATTATTTTGCTATCGTCTGTATAAAGTTTTATATAGTTGGAATTGTAGAAAGATTTATATGTTGTCAGGTAGGTCGATTAAATATATCATAAAAAGTAAGGCGCCTGAAACAGATCCTTGAGGAAATCCACTCATTACTTTTTCATTCAAAATTTTCATGTCCAATAGTAAATCACTGTAGACGCCTGGATAGCCATAATTTGATCCATTCTATAAGCATTTCTTGTATGCCGTAACCTTTCATTTTACGTATAAGTCTTTTGTGCGTATCTTGTCAAAGATCTTAGCTTAATCGGTTTAGACAACATTAACAGGTTAGTTACAATTAGTGGCTTCAGTACAAGTATTGCAAGACTCCAACAGATTTGTTGTGCATCCTTTTCTTTTTACAAAACCATGCTTTATTAACCAAACTTTAGTAATTAAAGCAATGGTTAGCAAGAGATCAGAGCTTGATTCGTGTATTATACCTTCAAATATTTTACACGGTATTGAGGTCATCGAGACTAGTGTATAGTTACTACAACTTGTCTTACTTCCTTTTTTTTGTATATTCGCGAAACTTCCAATTTCTTCCACATATATAGAACTTCCGGAGTTGCAATTAAGAAATTGAAGATAAGGGTTAGGGAAACTGCAAAAGCGTCCGCACAATTTTTTAGGACTCTAGGATGCACTCCATCAAATTGTTTTGATTTTGTCACATCAAGGTTCATCAGTCTAGATTTTAATTTACTTTTTTTACAGACTAGATTTTACTAGAAGTGATAATTACTTCTTTTTCGGTACATTCAATGACGGTTCGATTGTGGAAATCCGGTATAGGACCTTCTGGCTCTATTTTAAATATAGATTGAAAAAACTGATTAAGAGCCAAAAATATTACCTGTTGGTCTTTTGTAATTGTGTCTCAATCAAGATTGTGTGAGCGAATATGGCCATGTAGTTGCGTTTTATGATTTACATAAGCATGTAGCTTCTTTGGTTCAACTTCAAAAACACAAGCGATATCCTCTTCATATTTTTAAACTGCTAACTTGACTAAGATTTTTGCTATCTTACATACTGTTTTATATAAACACAAACGGTTTTATGAGTTTCTCTACCAGCCGATATGTATTATTTATCCGTAACCAAACTGCCTTCTTTCTCTATGAATTTAGTGCTTGTTGAAGGAATGTGTAGTCAAACTGCTTCGTTGTATTTATCAACAAACAAAACATATTTTTCTGAAGCTGAAAGCCCATTGAAGTTTCTCAACCGGTCACACTCTTCAATGTACAAGGAGAGTGCTTCATAATTGGCTTCGCTCCATATATAACGTAATGTTAACAGTATTGAATATGTTATTAAAAAAAAAACAGAATATTTTTCTCATATTTATGGAAATTATTGAAAGCATCAAATAAGCAATAATAATCTCGCATCAGCGGAAAAAAAATATGACCACATAATGTTTTAAACACCCTCAAATTGAAAAGTTTTAAACTTTAAGTGCTCAAAATTTTTGAATGTTACAAGAATATTCTACGAAATTCAAAACTTATCAACCAATATTAATTTATTTGAGTATATTAAAGAAAAGTAATTTATCAACTTGTTGCTCTCACGTTGTTGTGAATGACGTCTTCCACGCTCGTAGAAAGTAGCGGTTATCTTTTAATATTAAATTTAATGAACATTTTATAATGTAGTTGTTTGGTAGGTTTGAGAAGTTATACTACCTCAATTACGGATATTATTAAAATACATGCTGTTGTTACGAACTGTATTTATATTTTGGTTGATATTTGTAAATATTATCTGCAGTCAGATGATAATCAAACGACAATAAACAAATGAGTGAAATTTTTAGTGTCTCAGGTAAAATAGGAATTCCACACACTAACAGGTGGCGATTTCTGCCAGGACATAAAAAAAATTTATTCATAATTGCAAATGGAACAAGAGAAAATTTACGAGATAAAACATGATAAAAATAAACATTAAATGCACAGAACGACAAATTAACAATAAATCGACAATAATCATGACACTTGAAAAGTTAACAAAGTTATTAACAAGATTCGAAAGACAAGCTGACCAGGAAAAAGTTGGACTACGGTCAACGTTTGCTGGTCAGCTTATTTTTCGCCATTTTTTGGTTTTGAGAGCCATTCCTCTACCGAGGTTTGGTAAAAGAATGGCTCTCAAAACCAGTAATAGAAGTTGAAGCAACAATTGAGATTAAAAACGTAATCTTGGATAAATTGGACACTAAAAATATGAACGAAGTCGTCAAAAAATGAGAGTTTGAAAAATAAACTATGGTACAAACTAAATTGCAGAAAACACTTGTAAACGAAAACAAAACTACGCAGCAATCTGTCAAGCTTCAAAAATATACAATTACAAAATTTAATCGAGACCATAAGGACTGGTTACGATTTTGAAATCAATTCACGGTGGAAGCTGATAACTCAAACATATCAAACATCAGCAAGTTTAACTGCTCATTGGAACTCGTTAAAGGAAAACCCAGAGATGGCATACTAGGATTACCACATTCATTGAATGGATACGAAGAAACAAAACGTATATTAAAGGACACTAATGGAAAAGACATTTGGGTTCACAATACACTATTTAAAGACCTTGAACAAATAACGGTTATAAACAACACGTACAAAATCAAATAAATTAACGACTTTTATAACAAACTATTAAATTAAAAACAATACACAAACTGGAAACTGCTCAATTATTTGTGAACTCATTAATGGATAAACTTGGACCAGTTTGTGAAATACTGACGCAAAACGACGACGGATGGGAGGAATTGGGACTGGAGCAACTTGTTAAAAAGCTGCAAAAAATCGTTGAAAGAAATCTATTGAAATAAGCTTTCAACACCAACAATGAATAAATAAAATGCGATAATAAAAACGGAAACGCACAGTCACGGTCTTATGAATATCAAAGCACTGCATTATAAGCAACATAACATTTAGAGGTAATTATGATAAAGCAATGATAAACAGTCTTGCTAAATATGAATGTAATTGAAAGATAGCAAACATGCTATAGCGGGTTTTCAGTGGATCTATATAGGCATTTTGAGCAAACTGCTGTAGTTTTGGACATCAGTTACGTAGTGGACCATTGCTGGCAGCCGCAAAAAGTGATTAGCAAATGACTAGCCACTATTAAATGTCGGAAAATTTTCAGTTTGCCATTTATTGCGGCGGCCGCTAACGATCAACCAAGTAACCGATGAGCAAATATCCAATGAACCGCTAAAAAATGCCACTGCAAATACTAAAACAAAGTTTTACTAAAACAAAATATTTACTAAAACTCCATTAAAAAAGTTTTACTAAAACTCCACTAAAACAAAGTTTGCTGGGTTAAAGCAAATGTTTACACCAATATTAGAATTTTATAAAAATTTGAACAAAACTTTATTCCCTTATATTGTCTCAAGAAAAAGCAAAAAAAAAAAACAACAAAAAGAAACCTAATACACAAAATTACTAGATAATTATAAATCAAATTCTAAACGCACATGGTTTATAATAAAAAAAATTAATGTCAGCAAAAAATTTACATCTCACTCAACTTAACAATGATTTTTTATATGATAAAAAAAAGATTCCAGAAAAATTTACCAAATAATTTGTATC